TAAGATTAATGTGGGATGTTTGTAAGGAGCACTTTGCTATGACATTTCAATGATTAGGGTGAAATGGTTAGTGATGTAGAGTTGGTATAAATTCTGCAATGAACGTGTAATGATTTCTAGGGTAAATTTGTGCGTGATGCTGGAAATCGATGTTCGATGTGTCCATATGTTGCATTAAATTCAAGGGATCTTGAAACTCACCAACGAGTACATCATTTGAAAAGGAGATTTTTCCGATGTGCTAAATGTTCTTATGTAACGCATGTACGTGCTCGGTACACGAAACATGTGAAGTATCATTCTATGCCAATGATCAAGTGTGATGCTTGTGATTTTCGTACACCATACAAGGTTAATAGAAGTTTCATAGAATGCAGTAAACTGGCCATCTTTGAGTAAATGGTTAACGACAAATACATGTTTTTCAGTGGAATTTGGACAGACACACGAGGAATCACGGCGGAGGGGGTGCTTTCCAGTGCCGTGCCTGTAATTTCACAGCTGACATCAGGCAGAGCTTGACGGTACACGAAACCAATCACCATGAGCCCCCTGTTGGACAAACCAATCGCAAGTCGAATGCATCTTTTGAGCGTAAGCCGAGAAATAGTCCTAAGCGCTACAATCAGGTACAATATAATAGCTTTATCTTGTATTTGTATTTCATCTATCCCATGTATTACATCGCACATATAAGTGTACCATGATTTTAGGTGGGTGCAAGTGATTTTCGGGAAACGCTTCATATATCTGGAAGTACAACGGTGTCCCTTAGCCCTGGTGATTCGTTCATGTCTGATCAGTCGATGAACTCTATAGAAGATAAGAGAAGTGCAATAGCCAACGCGGAGTGTATAGCGTTAAAGTGTGAAGAGAAAGGTTGTCAATTTATTACCGCATGGGACTCTGAAATGCAGAGACACCTGGCAGAATGTCATGCTCCGGTTACACTTAATAAGTCTAGGAAACCATTGCCAATGTTAATTCCTTTAAGTCCTATTAAACCTAATAATACTGCCACCGGATCTTCCACGACACTGTTAAAAGTTCCACGAGTAAGAGTACGACCGGAACTTGCGCAAATCGCAAGGGACACGGAACTAGCTAGGTTGTATGGGAATAAAGAAGTTAGTTTATTTTGTTCCTTTTTACTTGTGATCGTTACACCGTAAACTCTATTGTGCCCTGTTCTCTGTTAGTGATACCAATGTGTTTTCATTGACAGATCAACAACTATAAGAAGGATGCAAATAATGCGGCAGATTTATTTGAAAAAAAAAATGCGTCCTTCTTTGATAAGCTAAAGGAAAAGCTTACTACGTCGGCGTCAATAAATAACGGAGTGGCGGAGGTAGCAGTAAGTACCACGAACGATTTGAAATGCTGGTGTACATTTAAAGCTAGTAGCATGGAAGAGCTGGCTTGTCACAAACAAACACACCACACTGCTCTCAGTGTATCTATGGGCACAACGCGTTGCCCAAAGTGCAGAAGACGTTGCAAAAGCTCGACTGATCTACAAGCGCATATGCAGTGTTGTCGCTTGGCAAGCAACGATGCGTCCATAGACAGTAGCTTAGAAAAATTATCGAATTGTTCAGAACTACGTGTGACCTCGTATCGCGGTGAATATGCATTCCCAGCGCAAACGGATTGGGACGTAAATCTCAGTGGACTCAATTCTTCTGGATCATCGGTATGATGTTTCTATAGAAGTAATATATCTTTATATATTTATATATATATATATACATACTTTATCTTTAACGCGTGCACATGGAATAATGAAAATGCACACATGCACACGAATGAATAGACGAATTGCAATACGAGAGTCAACAGATCTGACTATACATCAATTCTTTTTATATACGCGTTCAATTTTGACACTAAGCGTTTTGATTGCAAGCAACTTGTATGGCCGTTATACGATACACAGTACACGGAATGTCCTATTCGATTTTATTTCGTCTGAAATATTTTCTTTATCCAACTGTATTTCAATAAGTCAATTCTCTCTCTCTTGTATTTCATTGAAATACTAAAAGATACGGAAGATAATTCAAGATAGTAAAATTAGATTGGTC